CCACCCCCCTTCTGCTATCCACTAGAATAGTCTCGTCAGATTGCAAACTTCTTGGAAATGTAGCATTTTCATTGCTTTTTTCTTTTCTTTTTTTTTAAAAAAACGTTCTTTCAAGGCAAGACCAGACATTTTTCATGATGGGAACATACATACATTTCAAACCGAGACGCTCGTCCACCCCCCGGGCCTCTGGTGTACCTTATGTAGGGCTTTGCAGGGCTATGTAGAAAACTGCCCCCATGTGCAGGCCTGGTTGATTTACGTTGCAAAAATGGGACAGAAAACAATTGATACAAGGGGACTGGGAAGGGGGATGGAGAACATGATAAACGGCACACAACAGGGGCTGGGAATTTTCCCAGCATTTTTTTTTTTAAAGGATGGGCTGAGAAATTCGATTGACCCGAAGAGCACACGAGGATGCAAGGTGCTGACACGGATTTGCTTGCCACTGACTTGACCTTCACAGCCAAAGTCGGATGTTCACAGCAGAGACGTAACGGCCGAGTGAAGTCACGTCATATTTTAACTTTCTCGCGTGTGTGTTTAATCGGCGAGGGGCTTTTTCTGAATTGTGCTCTAGCTCAGCATCTTCCTTGCCTTCTTTGGCGTATTAGCAATTGCCACAACTCGGTTATCTTCACGTGCAGTCTGGTGGGCTTTCGCGTTATTTTCTCTGAGCAAAACAACGTTCCCCCTTAAAAGGAAAGCTTTTGAAAGAAAGGGGGGAAGTGCCTACGTGAACCCATCACACGTGGATGCCATTGTTTTGACTAGTAAGCCAACACATAAGGTAGTCCAGAACATCCCCTTCATTCCACTTGATGGCGTCTTAATACAACCTTTGATAAAAACTCACTTTAATTAACTGACATACCCATCGATCCCCTCAGTGCAATATAAAGTTGTTTTCACTGCAGGCCCTTTTGCAATCTGAGAATAAAATGCATAATGAGTTAGGAATCATGAAAAACTGTAATGCATCTAGAAGTTGGCTTTGGCGCTGAACGTCTTTATAAATTTATAGAAAATATTCAACATCTAACAAAATAAATAAAACATATTTTAATCAGAGGTGCCTAACAATCAACTTCAAAAATCTGCAGGGCAGCAGGTCCATTGGTTTGCTTCCATTTGCTACTAAATTTTAGAGAATTTGCTCTCAGTAGTGCTCAGAACTGAGTGATCGCACCTTCAGCGATGTGAAAAAATACAGCTAAGTCCATTTGAGAAGATAAAAAAGCTCCTTCAAGAAAGGGTTCAAATGTCAATGTCTGATTGTTCAATGTAGCTGTTTCAGTTTATTTTATTCTTTTAGTGCTCATTAAAAAGATTCCTCATAATGGTTATGAGTCCTCATTGCGATGGGAATTTTTCACCTTCACTTGCTGTTCTGAAGAACTATGTGCTGAGATCTTCTAAGGGTCTCTCCAAACATCACTTCCAAGCATGCTGCTAATGCAAGAGATAAGGTTCACCCTGAAATTCTCTCTGATACAGGCATTGCACCTATCCAGTGTAATTCAGCTTGAAAAGTATATTCACCTTCTCAGTTGCTCGATGGCAGGTGGAGAAGAGTGTCTTTCTGACCTTGAGGCTCTTCAGATTGTCCAGCTTCCCCACGGCAGGGAACAAAAAGGCCTTGCTGTCATACTGAAGAGACCAAGCAAATCCTAAAATGCACAACCAATGCAAGTTTGGAGGAACGGGCTTCCAGATGGATGATCTACGCATCAAATGGTCTGAAAGCTATTCAGGGGGTGCCCGGAGAGTCCTCAGCTTCTTATCATCCAGCCCCTTCCAGTACTTGAAGTTGTTGTCTAGGTGTTGCATCAGATTTGGTAGATCTGCAAAAGCTGGAAAAGAAACAGGCAAAGTCACTAACACCTCTGGGAAATAGAACCAAGGGCTGAGAATGCCAGGGGGTTGTTTTCCTAATGGGGGGGTGGGGGGGGCTATGGGCAACCTACAGCTTCAGGGATGCAAACTGTCCCTCCCTTTTGGTACTCCTCAGAGCCCTTCCTGACTATAAATGCTGAAAATTAATTGTGCCATTTTCCATTATTTTAAACTGGGAAGTAGATAAAATTTACCATCTAATAGAAGCCTTAAAATAGTCACACTTTCTTAAAACAACAAAGAAACACTTCGTAGACTGGCCTCAACTCAATCCTACCCAAATGGGTATCCTCATCCATCTCAAAAATAA